TTTTTTGTCTTAGGTTTATCCAGATTCTTTTGCATTTTGACCCAGAAATGTGTGTTTTCCCCATGGTCAATATGGAACCCAGTCAATGGCAGATTACTGAGGCAATGCATGTAAATGACAATCAAAGCATGGATAAACATCTGTAACCTCATTCACCTTCTTCCTCCCCCGTCCTCATTTTCAGGGGGTAGTAAAGACTTTCTCCTTGACCAAACTTTGCTTAAGTTGTCTGATCTCTTTTCTTCATAAGTCACAACCTTCACACCTACTCTGGGGTCTTCTGCAGTCAAATCTTACAAAGTCTGCTCAGAAGGAATCCCTAACCTTGGTTTCTAATAAAGTTCTTCACCCTTTGCCTTTGATATACAAGTCTTTGGCTTGCTTTTAGCCTAAGCTTGCTAGGTCAGATCAGTTTAGTGTGAGTGATATATCTTAGTAACTCCTCACTCTGCTCTGTGGCTATTTACCCTTCTTGTCAGGAGTTGAGCCTGAGCATTATGTTGTGATGATTTTAAATAAAGTTTTCTCTATTAATTAAACAGTTATAAGATCCTGTTTTCTTTAACAGCAGGTGCCTATAAAGGTCTTGGGACCTTCAAGTACAGAGCTAATCACAATGCTACAAAGAAAACACAGTTTGCTTCCCCAGTGTGACATAAAGGCTCCAAATATCTAGATTCAAAATTGCTCAGAAGCACTAAACCAATAAAGCTATGGCCAAAACAACAAAAATAGAAACAAAGTTAACAAAATTTACTACTGTCTTTGGTTTTGTGGCATCAACCTGCATGCTAGCTACTCAAGAGGCTGAGATTAGGATGACCAGTTGAGACCTTCCATTTTATGGAAGGAAGAAGCTGGTTGTGATGCCATGCACTTGCCATCGCAGCTATGCTAGAAAGCATAAAATGGGAGAACTGTAGTCCTGGCACACATCTGGACAAAAAGACAACAAAAAGGAGACAGGGCTGGAGCCTTAGATCAGTGGTGAAGGCTCTGCCTAGCAATTGAAGGGCCCTGAATTCAAACTTAGTACCACTATAAGTCCATGATTTCATTTGAACTTAAGTTTAAAAAAAGGCATAAAAGGAAGGAAGAGCTGAGGCCAGGGTTCACATTTATAATCCTACTTGCTCAGGGAGCTGAGTCCAGAGGATTATGGTTCATAGCCAGCCCAAGCAGAAAAGTTCCAGAACTCTATCTCCAATTAACCAACAAAAAGGGCTGGGGGAATGGGTCAAGTAGTATAGTAAAACAAGCAAGTTGAATAAGCATGAGGCAAAAGAGAGAAGATCAAATTATAAAATATTCTTACTCTTTCCCAGGAATACTTCTTTCAGAAAGGTAATGAGGGGAAAAAGAAGACTTTTATAGTTAGGGTCATTACTATATTCTTTTTTTTTTTTTACTGTACAAAGGGGTTAGAGTTACGTGAGTAAGATAATGAGTGCATTTCCTATGGAGCATTGTTACCCCCTCCTTTGTTTTTCCCCTACCATCCCTTCCCTCCTCATGTCCCCAACTCCTTCTCCCCACCCCCAGCTGTAAAGTTTGTTTTCAACATAGTGTCTTGTACATCTCATTGTTACAATGGGTCAATCTGTATCCTTATTTAAGCATTTTGTTATTTCCCTTCCCCTCCACAAATTAGAAAGATGTATAGACAAGATATAGGGCACACAGGGATTATACCATGGGGGAAGAACATACAAAAGAAAACAAAAAATCACACAGTACATTAAAACAACAGCAACAAAGATAAAACTTCTTGTGTCCCTATCTTGGGGTTCATTTTGCTTAGCATCGTCTTACATGGTCATATGTACATAGCTTTTGACCTTTGCTGCCTGTCCTAGTCATATACTAGTTATGCAAATAAGGGAAACCATGGGACCTATGCTTCTTTGGGCCTGGCTTACTTCACTTAATAATTTTGTAATCATTCTTGAAAGGGATTAACAGCCCATATTAAAAAAAAATAGACTTTTCTCTCTCTTCATAAAGGGCTGGTCATCAACGTTAGAGTGCCACTTTTCTTCTTCACTCTTTCAATCAGCCACCAAATGATGGTAGTTCTCTGTCCCCAGGAAGGCTTGAAACTACATTCCCTTCTAGACATGGAAGCAAAACTCTTCTGAATAAAGCATACTTCTTACCGCCACTCTCAGAGCAATATTCTTACTTATTCTATCCCCCCTCCAGGACCTTCTAGAACAAAGGGCAGAGAATTTCTACCTCCCATTAGATACTCTAGGAAAAGGCAGTATTTCTGGCGACCACTTCTAATTACCCACAGTTTCTCTTCCTTTTTCTCTTTTCCTTATTTCATCCATTTAGGTCACTTAGGATATATCTTTGCAGGAAGAAAACCCTCAGTGCAGTTTAAGAAAGTAGTAGTGTATTCTACTGATAAGAGGATAAGATAAAAAGATGACAAGACAAAGTCTTGGCCAAACCTGGGTTCAGGCAACTGTAACACTGCAGAGAGAGGGCTTGGAAGTGTGGGGCTCTAGTGTTGGACTGTTTGGACTAAAATATAGGCTTTCCTAAGGGTGTACAACCCAGGGCAAGACCCTTCATCACTCTACCATGTCTACCAGTGGAAGGATAGTCCTTACTTCCTAGGACTGCAGTAAAAAATCAGATGACACAATATGAATTTAAAAACATCGTAAACTCTAAATAGTAAGCGCCAACTATGTAAGCTTTTATTACTATCATTTGTGAAATTCTACATGTATTGAACGGGAATAATGGGCATAATGTCCACATGACATTTTATGAAAATATTACAGAGCATCCTTAGTATGAATCTTTTGGGGGAAGGAAATAAATATATTTTTTTACGAGGGCATTAAAATGGTCCAGAAAAGCACACATCACCAAACACTGGAATACTAGGTAGAGAGTAAGAGGGGTGGAAGGGAGTTGACAGTTTTCTATGATCTTTGTAACACCCATGTACTACTTTCATAACTCATTGTGAAAATCAAACATTTTACCACCGTCTTTCTAGTTTTCAATTGAATATTTCTCATCTTCTAGCCTAGAGAAAGATAAGCTTCTTGGAGAGAGGAGAACTGAGGCTCTGTAAAGATTAGGCAGAGTCTCGGCCCTCCTGTCTGTTCATCTGAAATTCCTTAACCTCCTTTACTGCCCTGGCTACATTACATACCTACCATTGGTATCCAGACAGCCTATGTTTGCTCATTATGGTGCCCGAGGGTTTTCTGTCCTCAGGGTTTTTAGTATCTTCCTACCTCGCACAACTTTGTCCCTATTTACCTGAGTCTGTTTCCCACTGTTAGTCCAGTGCTCTTCTTATGCCAAGCCCACTGATATGACTACAAATCTATACTGTTCCAGTACAAAGTCCCCCCCTCCACTTTCCCTGCAAAGGGTCCAGATAGGCTTTCAATACCACTCTCCCTGCCCATGCCCCCCTCCTCCCCTCCTCCCCCCAAAGGCCTACTAAGTATATAGACTTTTTTTCTTTCCTTTAGGTCTTTCCCTACACAGATGTTTACTTTTGTTTTACTTTTCTTTTGGAAGTTACTTTGCTACTTTATACCATCTTCACTCTTTTCCATTCTCCTCACGGATCTCTTATTGTCCATTAACGTTTCTGCTTCTCCTCTCCTCTCCTCTTCTCTTCCCTTCTCTTCTTCTCTTCTCTTTGTTCTGTTTAGCAACCATCCCACTTAGTCTGGTCTCCTCACACTCCAAGCGTCTATCCCCACTTATACACACGGCTAGGGAGAATCGTTTATGAAATGAGGCAGGAAGGAAGACAGTATTCAAGAATACAGGCAGGTTGCCTGTCAAGCCATCTCTAGCATTGTGGAGCATCCCTGAGCCTTGCAGCTGGGGGTATCCAGCCACCAGAAGCAGGTCAGCATCCCGGCGCCGAGGAGTAAGGAAAGCCGATTGGTTCCCATATGGACCAATAAGAAGGCTAAGCCATACCCTGGGTGGGAAGGGCTAAGATTGGAAGCGGATAAGGTTAAAGGGAAAGGAAGGGGAAGGTGTGCTTAGGCACCCGGGTTTCAGTGTGCGCCTTGTACCCGCAGGGTCATGATTAATGTTAGAACTCTGATCTAAATCACCGTTTCCTACTTTTCAAATATGGTCTAGCTTAAATAGTAGATAATGGAGGCAGGGTGGGGGGCAGGGAGAGCACCCGTTACTTATCCTACCATTCACAAGATGGTTATTAATAGTCAGTGGGGAGGAAGCTTTGGAGTAGGAAGGGCGACACGATATCTGCACCCCTACCCCCTCAATTCCAGTCCACGCGCCACCAGCCTAGCTTAATCGGTTTTAAAAATAGCAAATCACCCAAACGCTCACTTAATCGCCAAATCTGATTAACAAAACGTTGAATTAGAATTAGACACCTGAGTAAGTTTCCTCCCTCTCCCAGGACTTGGGTGGAAACAGTGCTGGCGATGACCGAACACGCAGCGTTTCACTACCCGATGGATCAGAAGCCAAGGAACACAACTCTGGCTGCAAGTCGGGGAAACTGAGACCGCCCCCAGGCGCAGCCACAGCCCCTCCAAGCCTCTGCCCCCGCCTCTCTTCACCTGGGGGCACACGGATTGTTTTGCGGGGGGAGAGGAGAAGGGTGGGCGCACAGATTGCAGATTTTTTTCCTACTGTGTTTCAACTTCAGCAAAGCTGTTCCGTCCACTTTTTATTTTTACCCCCAAGTGTCGTCACCTGCAGACCAACGACCAGTCTAACCTGTGACCCTCCCGCTACCCCACCACCCATAAGGAGGGAGGGGGGCGCAGACACCGCGTCCCAGCGCTGGGGACGCGCGGGGGGGGGGGGGCATGGGAAGGGAAGTGGGGAGAAGAAGGGAAACGATCCGTGGACGTAGACTGTTCCCCGTTAAGGCCTGGGGCCCCGAAGCCCGGAGAGGAGGCAGGGAAGGGCCTGGAGGGGGAGCTGGGGAGGGGGTAGGCGCGGGGCGCCGCGGGGGTCGCCGCACTCACTCTGCGTAGCCGGTGGCCCAGGGCAGCCTCCGCGTCTCCTTGAGGATGAGGATGGGCCGGGCGATGTGGTCGGCGCTGCACTCCACCTCGTCCGGTGACAGCCCGAGGAACTCGGGCCGCCCGTAGGGGAAACGCAGCGGCAGGTCGGAGCCTCCGCAGCCGCCACCGCTGTGCTCGGAGCCGGAGCTGCCAGCCATGATGCCGCCCATGAAATTGGCCACGGCAGATTTCACTCGAGTGAGCATATTACCCCGGCGCCCGGCCGCGGCGACGCGAGCAGGAGGCGGCGGTGGCGGCGGCGGCCCGGCGGGGCGCAGCGCGGGGCATGCAGGCTGCGGCTCCCCGAGCTCAGTGCTGCAGGGGGCCGAGCTCCGGCCTCCCCTGCTCCGTGTCGCCGCCGCCGCCGCCGCCTCCCCCCGCGACACTTCCGCAAGCCAGCGACATGGGCCGGAGCGGCAGACGCACCGCGTGCTCCGGGAGCGGCCCGCTGGCCGCCGCCGCCGCCACCACCACGGCCGCGCGTCCCTTCCCCGCCCCCGGCGCCCACCGCGCCAGCCCCGGGACCCGCCGCCGCCGCCGCCGCCGCCGCTGCCACGGCTACAGCCGCCGTCGAGTCATGTGATAATCAGGCTGCCCGGGCTCCGGCGGCGGCGGCGGTCGCGGTGGCCGGGGCTCGGCCCCTCCCCTGCCCGCCCGAGCGAGGCCAGCACCCCGCTCGTGACCTCCTCGGGGAGAGGAAGTGCGGCCCGGCCGGTACCTGGGCGCAGGGCATGGGGGCGCTGTGCGCTCGGGGGGGGGGGTCCAGCACAGGTGTTGGGGTGTGTGTGTGTGTGTGTTGGGGGGGTGGGGTGGGGGGTCGTCACGTGATGCTCGTGCGTCGCGGTGCAGGAATCCGCTCCCTTAGGAACCGTGCCAGTGCCAGTCGGAAAGGAAAAACTTGGAGAGCTTGCAGGAGCCACGGTAGACAGACAGGTGCATCCAGGGCGGGACGGCGACTTCCCAGGAGGGTCAAAAGAAAACAAGAGTCAAACCACAAGCCACCAGAAAACCACCTGGTGTCAGAAGAGACTTGGCCTCACCAAGGCGACCCAACAACCGTGCAAAGTTTCCCCTCCATTTGTACAGTGACTTTTTCCTTTTTTTTTTTTTTTATCTTTCTCTGTGGCGCCAACCCAGTTTGCAACGAAGAGGAAGCCAGAGAGTGAAGACGAGCAGAAGCTCTCTGGGAAATCGCACACGTTATTTCAGCCCCCAGTTGTTGTTTAGCAAGTTTAATGCCCCGTTTGTTTAGAGAATCTCTTATTTTCCTCCAATACAGGAACAGATGCATCTTCTCCCCCCCCCCCCCCAAAAAAAACACCCCACAACAACCTGGCCTCCTTTACAGGGTCAAACAGGTGGTTCAGTCGTGTTTTATTTATTTATTTTTATCAAACAAATGATAAAATTGCCCAAAAGGCACAGATAAAACGTTAGACATATATGACAGCCCTTGAGTTAAATGCTAAAGTTAAAAATAAATGCTCCCAACTCTATTTTTTTTTTTTTTTTTTTTGGTCATCGTCTATTAAAACCAAACAGAATGACAGCTGTGCTTTATCAAGGGTAACAATTGTTAAATGTTGAGCTTACTAGGTTTTAAATTTTTTTTTTTTGCAAAATTAAAAAGTAGGATAGGACTCATCTCCTATTTACCTGCCATATATTTTGTTAGGACTGTAAAACTCGTTCAGGGACGCACTGAACAACTCTATTGGAGTTGAGGTACCCTTCCTTCATCGTCTTTTTCCCATCTATACCAACCCCAAGTTACCCAGTTCTTTTCTCTCTTGGTTTGTCTGCCTCCTTCTGCTTAAGGGTCAGGATTTTAAATAATGGCATGTCAACCTTTGGTTGGTTAAACTGTAAAGTTCTGAGTGGGAAAATCCCTGCTTATGTATTTATAGGGGTCGAACATGCAGCACACAGTCCATTATCATCTGACTTTAAGACATGCTTCAATTTCCCTTTTCAAATCGTGTTGTAGTCCATTCGCCTTTCAACATTGTCTTTGGAATATTCCACTATAATAGGTTTAGTGAGTTTAATTTAATAAGTTCTCATTTCACTTTATTGCAAAGCTTTAGTATGTATGTAGAATAGGATTTTCATTTTAAAAAATCCTGTCTTATTTTCAATTTAAAAGTTGTAGCTGATCATGGTATACACTAAATAAGTACAATGCAATTATACAAAACTTCAAATGGAAAACTCAGTCTATAACCATTTCCAGGGGATAATCACTGTTAATATTTTCTACTGTCTCTCAATTTATTTTTCAAATAGACACTTAACATTATAATTTGGTAACATTAGCAATATTTGTGAAGCAACATTCTGTAAGATATTATACTACTGTTTCTCTGTAATCTAGTTACTGCAGGTCCCAGGGAAGTGCTGTTACATCATTAGCTTTTCACACTAAACTTAGTCCTGAACATTTTGCCCTGTGAACAAACAGGAATTTCCTCTGGCTCGTCTTAGAATGTTTCTGTAGTAAGATTTGGAAATGGCATTTCTGATTTAAATGGGGCTAGTCATCCATCTTAGAGGATCTCCCCCCAAGATAATTACCTTCTACACCCATTACATGTGCTACCTAATTCATGATGCTGTGATTAGCAATTGAAAGACCCTCAATTTGTTTGTTATTGATTGTATATACACCCAGTCATCAATAGATGCCCTTGGTTTGATTTGTTTCTCTTGTTTCTTTTTCCCTCTGGAAAACACTCATTTGAAGACTTCAATAGCATTGCCATTAAGGGGATAGATACACAGACCTATACTTGGATGTTTTTCACATCTCATTTCTAATCCCATTGCTTAGCCCCACACTATATCTTCACCTGGTAAATGGCACCATCCCACCAATAAGCCTTATTTGCAAGAAAAGAAGCTCAGGATAATTTCTTCATTCAAAATACCAGAGATTTGCTCAAAATACTTATTGATGACAAAAGGAAAAACAACTTGCAGTGGGGAATTCTGGAAGATATCACTACATGCAATCACAGTCAATCCCATCATTAATAAAATGTATTGACATCCTATATCCTCTTCCCTAATCCCTTCACCTCTGTATAATCATGAAAAACCATGGGTCAAACCCAAGTTGGGGATGTTCTAGGATATACAGCTGATCAAGTGATTTCAGAAGTGTCAAAGTCCTGAAAGACTGAAAATCTGGCACAGATTGGAGGCAAAGAAGACAGCTGAAATGTAGCATCAATATTAACTTCTTAGTTTTGGCATTGATGTTAGGAGAAGCTGGATGAAGGGCAGACATGGATTGAAAATTGTCCTCAACACACATGCACACATGAGCACACACATGTACACACATGAATACATATGCACACATGTATGCACACAAAGCAAGTAAACAAATATTTGAAAATCAGTGAGGAGAAAAGTGGATGATATCTGTACAGAATGTATCAGTCCATCAGCCTTTAATTATAGTGTTGGGTTCCTCATGTTTTTATCAGTAGTTTACCAATACCTTCCTTTTAGACTTTAAAATTCTCTAAGGTAAGAATATTTTTTATTTATCTTTGTATTTCTAGCATCTAGCCTAACCTGTGAAAGAGTTTTCTTTAATAAAGAAAAAAACTCTAATAGAGTATCTGCTTTTCAAACTCAGTAACCCTCTCCCGCTGCCACAAACATATCTCTGGCATACAGGTGGGCACGGCAGTATTTACTGTAGTATCAGCTACTTGAGATACTGAGGCAGGAGGATCACTTCAGACCAGGAGTTTCAGGTCAGCCTGAGCAATAAGTAGAATAGTGTTCCTTAAAAAAAAAAAAACTTAATTGTTATTATAAAGATGATGTACAGAGGGGTTACAGTTGCATAAGTCTGAACAACCTAGTGATTTGTGGGATTTTTTTATTAAGACCCTATTCAAGTACATTTCTTTTTGGGCAATGTTACCCTTGCTCTCTCACAGTTTTCCCCTCCTTTTGAACAGTGTTTCTTAAAAAAAAAAATCCAATTCAGAGTTCAGAGAAGGATGATTATAACCTGTTTGAATCAGCCAATTCCTGTTAGTTTTCTATACCAGATCCCTTTCTCTCGTGTAGAGCTAGCAATCAAACCATGTAAGTGCTCTACCACTGAGCAATATCCTCTATTTTCCTAAAGCTATTTCTGACTTTATCCTTCATGATGTTTGTTGTTGGTAAGCAGAATATCCTTCACCTATCAGATCTGGCAACAGAGGCTTTCTCAACTTCAGTTAATATTCAAATTAGTAATAATATGGATACCTAGTTCCTTGGGTCTCTCCTTCATGCTAAATTGATATCCTGATAAATCCCATAATTAGAATATGAAACAAAGAGTTAACACTAAAGTTTGTTTTTGCTTCAGAAATAGTTTGATTCTACTTTTGTATAAAGTAATGATGAAAAGGGCGGACAAATGCAGCAGTGATACTCACTAGATACTATGTTGAAAGTGAACTATACAATTCATGAGTGGGATTAGGAGGGAAAACTGGGAGAGACTAAGGGAAGAGATGACGTTATTAAACAAGTAATGTACTCTTTACCTGACTAATGCAACCATAATCACTCTGAGCATCACTTTTACAATAAACAAACAAACAAACAAACAAACAAACATATTAATTACAGAAAAATAATGATGGATACCTCTGACCTTTTAGGAATGACTGACTTATTTCTCCATTGTAAATAAAACCATATATAACTTCCAATTTCTTTATAAATTAAGGGGTTTACATCAAACCTAATTTTTGAGTACAGAGTAAAGAATATTAGCACATTTTACATGTGTCAAATATAGAAAGCCCTATGTTAACACCTGGTTGAGGAACATTTGGCCCCTTGAACTGGGAGATTGCACCTGGCACTTCCTCCTACTTTCCCATTGCCTACCTTCTATAGGTTGTTCTATCTTGTCACCCTTTGTCTCAGGCTGAAAACAGTTCTTTGTAACTGCTGTGGGAAGCATATAAATCCACCTCTCCCCCTCATAATCTGCCCCCCATCCCATTACATCTAGTTCAGATCAGACTCTGATAGGAGCTGAACCTTGGGAGTGTAAAACAGAAAAAAGTATCATTAAAAGAAAAGTAATCATAACTATTCAGTCTATGTTAGAAATTCACTTTAAGGATTGCTAAGATGACCATTCTTAACATCTTCTCTACTGGAATTTATTATTTTTCTGTTGCAACTTTTTAACATTAAATATTTCAACCAATTCTTTTGTCTTTCCTCTGCTTATAACCTTAAGGACAGCAATGCTTACTTCAGAGGATTGTTTTGATGATTAAGGGGAAACGAGAGGTTAAATTCTTAGAATTCTTTCTGGTGGAGAACAGATAATTAACTAGATTGGATGCATGAAGATAACATCAGGTAAGCCGGAGTGTGGGTGTGAGTACATAGTTTCCACTGTTCTTAATTATCACTGGAAAGGAAACA